CCGTTCCCTTCCCCGCGCCCCTTTTTGTTTGCGTCCGGAGGCGGCCTTGCGCGCGTGTCCGCAGCGCCCCAAGTGGGCGGCGCCGCTTCCGGTGCTCGCGTTCCGCCAGCTGCCCGACCGCGCTGCCTGGCGCCCGGCCGCAAGCCCCGAGGAAGGCCGCCGGTGGTCGGTCTCGGCCCGGGCGTGCCCACCAGGCCTCGGCCGCCCGCCAGGCCCCTCCGCCCGACGTCGCAGTCGCGGCGTTCGGATTAAGTTGCGGTCCCCGAGGGTCGGCGGGCCGTTTACCCGTTGCCTAGATGTAACGTCGCGCCTCCTTGACACTTTCAGGAAACCTCACGATGCGTGATAGCTGAACGGAACTGTCCCCCCCAAACGAGAGATGGGGTCTTCCTGTGCGGCTCCGGTGGCCTCAAGCCATCCTCCCGCCGCAGCCTGCCGAGGGGCCAGGACCGCAGGCGTCCCCCCAGGCCAAGCGACGACGCTCCTCCTGTACTTCCTCCTGTCCTCGTCCCTGGCGGCAGCTGCCCAGGTCCACGTGCACGTGCTAAGGTGCATGTTTCTTTTGCAAAGAGACAGGGGCTCCCGCATTGCTAGCATTTCTTTCTAATGGCTGTGGAGGATTTATTTACTAGAAGATGCCCCCCCCAAAAAAAAAAGTTATTTCAAAGCAAAGACAACAACCCAGCAATTTGTTGGGAAGGTGTCTGCTCTTTATGCATTTTAACAAGAGCTGTTTGCAAAGCTTTTATTAGTTACAGTCCATCCTGATTCACAGCTGTTCCCTGAAGTCCCGGGACCCTTGCTCCTAGAGTTCTGGGCGTCAGATCTGGATGGGGCCTTTCTGTGAACCTGCTAATACATGTGTTTGTGGGTTTCTATGGAAGGACTCTAGTTGATGTGCATTGTTGACCCTGAACTTAGAGCCCAAAGCACTGTAATTCATGCCACATCCAGCCCATCTCTTTCTCCGTAGTCGCAGCAAAGCCCTGAAATCTGTCTGTCTCTGTCACACACACATACACACAAGAAAAGTATGTGGGGAAATGTAACATTAACTAGACCAAGAAGCAAATCTTGTTTGTAGTTTAGAGGAAGACAGAGCCTCGCCTCTGTGACCTCTGCTGCGCACCTGCAAGGTGAGCACCTCACCCCTGGGCAGTCTTCGAATGCCTGGGGAAGCACCAATAAACTGTAGGCAAGGGCTGGGGATGTAGCTCAACCAGTAGCGCGCTCGCCTGGCATGCGTGCGGCCCAGGTTCGATCCTCAGCACCACATACCAAAGGGTTCGATCCTCAGCACCACATACCAACAAAGATGTTGTGTCCGCTGATAACTAAAAAATAAATATTAAAAATTCTCTCTCTCCTCTCTCACTCTCTCTTTAAAAAAAAAATAAACTGTAGGCAAATCCATCAATGCAGAATTCAGGAATAATGAGGATTAACTGTATTGCCAAAAATTATGAGAGGACAGAACTCTTATATTTATCTACTTAGACCTGGACGTCATGGCCTAATCTGCCTTAAAATCTACACCATAACCCATTCATTAAAAAGAAAAAAAAAACAAAACATGTTTCCTGAGTGGTTTGAATCTCTAATTGGTGCCAGGAAGGTAGTGTCTTTCTCATGAGCTCACTCGAGTTAATCCCCACCACTTGGGTAACAGTCTCCCAGGGTCACGAGGGCCACCTATTGTAAATCCTGTAGTCTGAGTCTTCTGTGAGTCACTTTGTCTGTTGTGTAACCCATGGCTCCAGCTCCATCCTCTCTGGAATGCTTGTGGCTTTCTTTTGTTTTGTTTTGTTTTTTGGTGCCTCGTTGCCGCCTCCTCCAGAGGGGAGAAATGCTGTGTGCTCGCGTGGAGAAGGGATGGAGGTGCAGAAAAGGGGGTGACTCCCTCCATCAAGACCCTGTAGAAGGACATTTGCATTGGTCCATTTTCTGTTGTGCTGGTCAGCTCCTCATCACTCTAACCAAAATACCTGATAAGAGCAACTTAAATGGAGAAAAGTTTATTTGGCTCATGGTTTCGGAGGTTTAGTCCCCAGCTCTCTGTGTCTGTGACTGAGCAGAACATCGTGGTGCAAGGGTGTTATGGGGGAGCGGGAGTGCTGCTGGCCTTGTGGCAGCCGGGAGCAGAGAGACAGGAGGGGGCTGCAGGGAAGATGTGCCCCTACTGGGCAGCCCCCGAGACCCTCCCCTCCAGCACCCCACCTGCCTACAGTTACTGCAGTCAATTCATTAAAACTAGGATGGGTGGTCAGGCCACAGCTCTCAGTCCAGTGACTTCACCTCTGAACACTTCTGCATTAACAGAGGAGCTCTGGGGAGGCGCCTCCTGTCCAAACCATCACACGTGCGTGGAGGAATTTACAAAGAAAAAGGTTATTTTGACTCATATTTATGGTCCAAGGAGAGGGCTCACATCTGGGAATGGCTTTCTTTCTTTCTTTTTTTCTTTTTTTTTTTTTTGTACCAGGACTGCACTCAGGGGCTCTCAACCACTGAGCCATATCCCCAGCCCTATTTTTTGTATTTTATTAGAGACAGGGTCTCACTGAGTTGTTTGGCACCTCGCTGTTGCTGACACTGCTTTTGAACTCTTGGTCCTCCTGTCTCAGCCTCCCGAGCTGCTGGAGTTACAGGTGTGGGCCACCATGCCCAGCTGGCGATGGCTTTCTTAATGGCAGAGTCCCAAGGTGGAGCAGATCATCCTGTTTCAAGAGACAGAGTGCATGAATGTCTCTCTTCTAGTCTCTCTCCCTCTTCTTAGGAAGCCACCAGTATTTAGTCCAGGGGCTCCACCCTAGTGACATCATCTAGCCCTCCCCAAAGCCCCACCTCAGATCAAGTTTCCTCTTTTTTTTTTTTTGGTAACAGGGATTGAATTCAGGGGCTCTCTACCACTGAGCCACATTCCCAGCCCTTTTTTAATATTTTATTTAGAGACAGGGTCTCCCTGAGTTGCTTAGGGCCTTGCTAAGTTGCTGAGACTAGTCTTGAACTGTGATCCTCCTGCCTCAGCCTCCCGAGTCCCTGGGATTACAGGTGTGTGCCACCGTGCTTGGCAACCACTGCTATTTTTAATGAGCGTAAATGGTTTTTAAATAACAAAATAAAACATTTGTCTAAAAAAAAGTATTGTGATTTGATTTTTACCTCATTATATAAGTTTTTAAGACTTTTCATAAAGTACATATTTATATCAATATGTATGTAACTAATGTATGTTTTTTCATGCTCACAAATTTCACTCATATGAATATGTAATCAAAATAATTTGGAGATCACTGCCCTGAAAAGTTGGGATCTCAAAAAGTATGTTCTCAACAGTGCACAATATCTATCCACACGCAGAGGGCTGGCTCCGTTCAGTGACAGAAGCCAGCGGTAATGATAGAGAGTACCACCTTCATGGATAGGAAGACTTGCCATTGTAAATGTCACTTCTCCTCATTGATTTCTCTGAATTAGCTCATTAATTTAATGCAGTTTCACTCAAAATCCCAGTGGGATTTTTTATGCTGCCTGACAAGGCAATTTTTATAATTTATATAGCAGTAAATATTATGAATCGCAAAGTCAATTTTGTAAAAAGAACAGGGAAGAAAAGAAAATTGATTGAACAAAAATCAGAGCAGATCGTGAAGCCACCACAGGTGAGACATTGTCACAGCAGAGCAAGAACAGGGCAGGAGGAGCAAGGAGCTTCCAGAAACCGACCTGAGAATTTACGAAAATTTATCATATGTTCTAAAAAGAGTTTTCTAAAAACAACATTTCCAATCCTCAGATAATGTCTGTGCAAGCCAAAAAATTATTTAAGGATAATCAGCAATTTCTCTGGAAAAAAAATACCTATAAATATGTAGTCTGGCTTCAACCACTCAAAAATCAACTTAAATATAAAACCGAAAGAGTTAATATAAAATGAATATAAAACAAAAAGAAAAGAGTTACATTAAATGTTTTACATTGTATAAAACACTATACCTTGGGTAAAGATAGTATTCCTAAACAAGGCAGAATACAGAAGTTCCTTGTGCTCCACATGTGTAATAAGAATTGTAATGCCTTCCGCTGTCATATGTAAATTAAAAAACAAACAAACAAAAAAACCCAGAAGTTCCAATAGATATGATTAGTAAAACAGACTACATCAAAATAAATTTTTTTGCAGGGGGCGAGATTACTGGAGATTGAACTACTCAGGGGCCCTCCACCACTGAGCCACATCCCCAGCCCTATTTTGTATTTTATTTAGAGACAGGGTCTCACTGAGTTGCTTAGCACCTCGTCATTGCTGAGGCTGGCTTTGAACTTGTAATCCTCCTGCCTCAGCCTCTTGAGCCACTAGGATTATAGGTGTGTCCCACTGTGCCCTGAAAATCTTATTGTATTGATGTATTTCATGTAAAACAAATTGAAGGTGTCTATTAAGAATTTCCAAAACTAACCTTTTCTATGAACCTGAATTATTATTTATCAACATCAACCCAAGAGATGTTCTCACAGAGATGCACAGGGAATCAGGTTCAAGCACATTCATTGTGAGGCTGGGGCTGCAGCTCTGGGGCAGAGGCTTGCCTGGCATGCACAAGGTCCTGGGTTTAATGCCAGCACAGAAAAAACAAAAACAAAACTGCTGTATTGGACATTTATCATAAATTCAGACAAACTTTTTTTTTTTTTTTGGTACCTGGGGTTGAATTCAGGGGCATCTGACCACTGAGTCACATCCCCAGCGTATTTTTTGTATTTTATTTAGAGACAGGGTCTCACCAAATTGCTTAGTGCCTCACTGTTGCTGAAGCTGGCTTTGAACTTCTGATCCTCCGAGCCACTGGGATTACAGGGTGCGCCTTAGCGCCTGGCTCCTCAGACAACCTCTGGAATTATCAATAAATATGTAGCCTGGCCTCACACCACTCACACACAAACCAAACGTTCACCAAAAGAATGGCTAAATGAGACGCGGTTAGCTCAGGGCTAAGGGTGCAGCTCAGTCCTAAAATGCGTGCCTCGCATGTGCAAGACCCTGGGTTCCCCAGTACCCCTCGTCCCTCAAAAAAGTGGTTAATTAATTAATTAACTTACATTAATGTGCAAAAATGTGAGAGCTGGGGACAGGTCCAAAGGAACAGTTAGGGAATTTGGAGTTAAAAGAAACTGCAATATGGGATACATATTAAAACATTTTCTTTAAACACACGACAAAAATAATATTTTTCCATGGTAATGCATATGTGGAGTTACATGGGTAAAGGGGCTTTTGGTCTTACCCATATATATTTTTTTAAACAAAGGAACTGTTAGTTTACCAGTGGTATAATTAAAGTTAATGAATAAAAAGTAAAACATGGGGATACAGCTCAGTTGGTAGAGTGCTCGCCTCGCATGCACAAGGCCCTGGGTTCAGTTCCCAGTAAACCATAAAAACACGTGAGGTTAATTAAGTTCCCTCTTTGGGAGACTAAAGAATTTCAACTGCCTCAAAATATCAGACAGCCAGACAGAGTGGTAGGAGCCTTTGGTCCTAGCTGTTTGGGAGGCTGAGGCAGGGGGATTCCTTGAGGCCAGGAGCTGGAGACCAGCCTTGGGCAACATCAGGAGACCCCATCTCAACAAAGCAAAGCAAAACAGATCACAAATACGAATAAAATAAATTAAAAAATAGAAAATGTACAAGAAAAAGTCCCTTCGGTGTGGGAGGTAAAATTTAGCTTGGGTGACATTAGCTGACATTTCAAAATCTGATGTTTTGCTGTGGAATCAACTTTTCCAAGCAAAATTTTAGACAAAAATGGAAGTCCCTGCTCCCATAGAGCGTCTATAAAGCCAACAAGAGTTTTAAATTTATTTATTTATTTAGACGTACCGGGGATCAACCGACTAAGTTTCAATAGTAAATATAAAATCCGGGCTGTGATTACCAATCTCAACTGGCCCCAGACTTTTGATCCTTCCCACAGATTTCGCGGGCACACACTGCCACCTGGTGGCTGGGGCTCACATTGCAGCTTGTCCTTTAGACCTCAAATCTTAATAAACCAAGGATTTCTTGTTTGGATATTCCTTAAAAACAAAATGTTTTAGAAATTTGGAAGTCTTACCTAGGGCTGTTGCTTCTAAATTTTGACAAAGATTTTTCAAAAAGCTTACTATTTTCCATCATTTTCAGTTTTGTGAATGAACAGACATTTAAGACCAAATGCATCAGAAAAAACATAAGCACAGATAAAAGGACAGTCCTGCTCCCAAAGGACCATGAAGAATTGCCCAGGCATAGTGGTGCCGCCTGTAATCCCAGCTCCTCGGGAGGTTGAGGCAGGAGGATCACAAGTTGGAGACCAGCCTCAATAACTTAGTGAGACCCTAGCTGGGTGTGGTGGTGCCTGAAATCCCAGCAGCTCGGGAGGCTGAGGCAGGAGGATCACAGTTCAAAGCCAGCCTCAGCAACAGTGAGGCGCTAAGCAACTCAGTGAGACCCTGTCTCTAAATAAAATACCAAATAGGGCTGCGGATGGGGCTCAGTGGTCCAGTGCCCCTGAATTCAATCCCTGGTACCAAAAAAGACAAAAACAAAACCCCAAACAAACTTAGTGAGGCCCTAAGCAACTTAGTGAGACCCTGCTTCAAAAATTAGGAGTGGGGATGTGGCTCAGTGGATAAGTGCCCCTGGGCCCTGGGGTCAATACCCAGTACTGAAAAAATCACGGGTTGGAGGGCTCTACGGGAGAGGCTCGCCTGGTGTTCCAACATACACTTAATAAACATGTATGTTCCATAGCCATGTTCACAGTCTCCCTTACCCACATGTCCCAGAGCCAGGGACCAGGTCCTGCCTACAGTCTTGAGAGGTGGGTCACGTTCTGAGAAAGAATTGATTCTGTTGTGGTGGCACCAAAGCAGGTACTTGGATAAAGCCAGAGTCACAGCCCGCTGTGCGCCAAAAGGGCTTTCAGCACCCTTACCCTCTAATGAGACTTCTTTCGCAGAAGAGACTTTTTTTTTTTTTTGCTACGGGTGACTGAACCCAGGGGTGCTTAATTAACTACGGAGCTAAATCCCCAGTCTTTTAAAAAATGTTTTGAGACAGGTCCTCTCTAAGTTGCTGAGGCTGACTTTGAACTTGCCATCCTCCTGCCTCGGCCTCCCGAGTGAGTCCCTGGGATCACAGGCGCGCGCCACTGCGCCCGGCTCGGCTGAGCTTTCTATCTTGCATTAACAGTGAAAACCGTGACGCTTGTCCCCGCTGGCATGTCACCTGAGGTCTGAGCCCCGCTGAGGTGGCTCATGCTTCACAGGAGGGGTACAAGGAGCATCCCCGCACAGGGAAATCCTTTTAACTGGCCTTGGGAGCACATTGACCCTGGGTGAATTCCAGGACCAGCAACAGACAGAAAGCGAGATAAGGGCTGGGCGCGGTGGCGCAGCGCGCATCAGGACCCGCCGGCCTCCGCCCCGCCGGCCTCCAGTCTCGGACTCCAGGCTGCGCCGCCGCGGCCCGCGCAGCCGGTGCAGTTTTTCAGCTTCTCATTTTAAAGATGAGAGCCTGAGAAGAGCGACGGGAGTGGGGCCAGCTGCAAGGAACCAGCTGAGAAAGGACAAGGGGTAGGGAGCCCAGGAGGCTAGGACGGGCAGCTCGGAGCAGTACGAGACGGATAAGTGGCCCTGGGCCCCTGGGTTCAAGAACTGGTCCGCTTCGCCGCCTTCCGCCAGCAGCAAACATGGCGGCGGCCGCTTCCGCCCACACGGG